AAAATCAAATGGTCCGTCCCTTATATATAGATGAGCACACACAATGTAGGCCACAGAAAATGTTACATCAACCGCTCTAAATGAGCTCATGGATTAATTAAAAGAATGCAAAGGTATTATACTATCATGTCAACTATATTTTATTGTTAAAATGTATTTATTTGACTAATTTAAGAATGTTTTTAAAATCGTTTTGGTTGACTATAAATTTGTTTATAAAAACCGTTAAAAACCCGCAACACCTGATCATTCATTCTGAGATTGGGCCGCTTGTGACTGAACCACCACGTTTGAAATATCTTTTTGAGGTAGTTCAGACATAAACTACGACAGCTTATCGTAGAATACTTAGTCTTAGCTCGGACACAAACCACGATATCGTAAAAGACCACAGTACAATAATTTAACTTTTAAAAAATTTATTAGTATAGAAAACATAGAAAAATACAATTTTTTTATTCTATTAAATAGCTTACAAAATTTCTGTTACTATTAAATACTTGAATTACAAAATTGTGACTAACTGCAACACTAACTTATTAATGAAACTCATGCATAATGTACGTTCAATTCAACTTATTTTATAAAAATTTTTTTATTCATTTTAATAACAACTTATGAAGTTTACTTTCTAACATTGCAAGCAATGACATGGCAAAATACGCTTGTTCATTTTGTAGGAACTGCATACTTGGCATTTTTTAGTTCTTTCACCTTATCTTGGTAAAAGCGTGCAGAATAAAACAGTTCTTGTCGAAAGCACTGAAGCAAACTGACTATTTTATTTCCTAGGCTGATATTTGAGGGTGTCTGGTACGGTGGACCACTGGCTTGTCTTGTCTTGGTGTTATTGGATTGTGGTATATCGTTATGCAAATGTCTTTCCTAAAAGGTAACAAGAGAAATACATGATTTATTTGATTTATTTGAGATTAGTTTTATCAGTTCTACTTCTATAAACTGCATTCCCTAGACGTCCAGTGTTACTACAGGAGGAAATCTAAACGAATCTAACTTTATTTATACTGGATAACTCTATCAGTTCTAAACTGTTCTTCCTAGAGGTCCAATAAAGATCATCTCTTATTGATTCAGTGTTACTACAGGAGGAAACCTAAACTAAACTAGCTTGATTTATACTGGATACCTTTATCAGTTCTAAACTGTTCTCCCTAGAGGTCCAGTAAGGATCATCTCTTATTGATCCAGTGTCACTACGGGAGGAAACCTAAACTAAACTAACTTTATTTATACTGGATAGCTCTATCAGTTCTAAACTGTTCTTCCTAGAGGTCCAGTAAGGATCATCTCTTATTGATCCAGTGTCACTACGGGAGGAAACCTAAACTAAACTAACTTTATTTATACTGGATAGCTCTATCAGTTCTAAACTGTTCTTCCTAGAGGTCCAGTAAGGATCATCTCTTATTGATCCAGTGTCACTACGGGAGGAAACCTAAACCAAACTAATTTTATTTATACTGGATTGCTCTATCAGTTCTAAACTGTTCTTTCTAGAGGTCCAGTAAGGATCATCTCTTATTGATCCAGTGTTACTACGGGAGGAAACCTAAACTAAACTAACTTTATTTATAGTGGATACCTCTATCAGTTCTAAACTGTTCTCACTAGAGGTCCAGTAAAGATCAGATCATCTCTTATTGATCCAGTGTTACTACAGGAGGAAACCTAAACTAAACTAATTTTATTTATACTGGATTGCTCTATCAGTTCTAAACTGTTCTCCCTAGAGGTCCAGTAAGGATCATCTCTTATTGATCCAGTGTCACTACGGGAGGAAACCTATACTAAACTAACTTTATTTATACTAGATTTTCTATCAGTTTTAAACTGTTCTTCCTAGGGGTCCAGTAAGGATCATGTCTTACTGAGTTATTATAGTGTTTATACTTACAACATATTTTACTGTCAAAATCAAGTCGATGACCTTGTACCGCAACAACATCAAATCATTTAGGAAATGGGTTGCATTTGGTTGCTTCTTTATGTCAGCGGTGACTTTGGTCAGCGGTTTAAGGAATACGCGTATTTTTTTCTCGTTCACGATTAATTTCTCTCTTTCCTGCAAATAAAAGATGACGTCAGATTACTTTAAGATAGCCCACATTGATCTTACCATGCTAGCTTAACTCAGTATTGAGTTAAATACATCATCAGATCATTTTAAGGTAACCCACGTTCAAGAACATGTAGTACCTCTGTATGATCTAACTATGCTTAACTCTACAACAAGTAATTCTGTTAAAACAACAACAACAAACAACAACAACAACATGTTACTTACTGTCAAATTAAGGTTTTTGTATGTGACGTTGCAAATTAAAATTGATTGTTTTACATGATAACCAAACAAAGACTTTGATTTCTAAATAACAGAACGAAATAATTATTAGCAGCAGTTCACTTCAGATAACTCGCACGCTTAGTTACCATTGTTCTGTAAGCATAGTATGGAACAAAGATAACCAAGTATTTAAATTATATACAGTATTTTTCTGTGTTGGTGTAATGTACTAAGCCTAAAGGCCATGTTACACGGTGCAATTTTTCTTGCAACTTGCAATGCAGTTCTACCCTTGAGAGATGTCAATTAGTGAAATCAGTGAAGAATTTTCGTTATGTTGAGAAAACATCAGCGGAGTGTAATGAAGACTCGTATTTGGCAATTTTACATCTCTCAGGAGTAGAATTGCATTGCAAGTTGCAAGCTGAAAAATTGCACCGTGTAACATGGCCTTAAGGTGAATATGATGCTTGTGATGTTACTCTGAGTGTATATCCACACCGGGTAAGCTTGAAAAATATGCCTGGCCACAGTTCCAACCGTGGCCAGGCATATCTTTCAAGCTTACCCGGTGTGGATATACACTCAGAGTAACATCACAAGCATTATATACAGTATGTGAGTGAATTGGATAAAAACAGACAAAAACGTCAGTACTTACAAATTCTTCTATTGTCTCATCAGCAATGTCGTTAATTTCTTTCGCAGTTTGAAGAAGATTTTTGTACTTGAATAATTTGTAGCTGGCGTTTAGAGGTCTTCCCACAGTCTTGTGAACGAGCACGTTGAAGATAAATAAAACACACACGAGAGTGACCGCACTTGCACTGATGTCTGAAAATTGAGAAAAAAACAAATGAAATACTTTAATTACTATTATTCACTCATGTAGATAATTCTAAAGCTTAGTTGCCTTTGTCCTTTGTTCTATGCTATATGCTTCTGTAAACTAGAGTAATAGATAACTAGGCATGCGAGTTGTCTATTAATTGCTATATGGCTTTCACTGCATTGGCAGCATAGATATCTTATATACACTAGATAGCACATCTCTTTTAGTAAAATTGAAGCCAAGAATATTCCAGCGGTTACCCCCATTTGAATAGATGACGGCCATGTTGGAGTTTCCCACTCGCTAATAAACGCTTAAAAAACAACAATAACTTTCATCATTTGAATAGTTTGGAATTGTATTTGGAATAGATTTAACTTAATGTTTAAGTTCCCTGTTTAAGAAATAGAAAACATACGAGTCTTCTCATTTCATGGGAATATCCTGAGTCTGCAATCACGGCTTCAATTTTTGAATTGCAGAATAATTAGATACACTTTCTAGTGTATATAAGATATCTATGATTGGCAGCTATCAGAGTGAGAAAGTAAGACTAATTCTTCTCACTGTATATATAATAGCCATATATTTTATGGCATGAAAGATGTAGTTTACTTTTCAATAAGTGTCAAAACGTTTGTAGTCGATGCGACGTAACGCTTTCTAAACCTTTAATATTACAGTATTAATTCAGTGATCTGTGGTGTCCGCGTGGGAAAATCAGAAATGGGAACCTGGCACTAGGGACTTCCCATTTTCATTACTTTGCAAAACGCGTTGGTTGGGGATTTTCCATTCCGGCGTTCCCCGAGCATGCCCGTTCGCAGGTTAAGGTGGGCATACCCTTAACCTGCGAACGGGCATCCTTCGGGGAACGAGATTGGGGATTCCCACGTTTAATGTTTTATCAAACTGAGCGAGTGTTTTCTCGTAGGTTTGTGGAAATGTAGAATGGTTGAGAAACTTAATGAAGAGAAGAAAAACTGTTCTCGAAGGTACGAGCTTTAAAATTGTGTGTTTTGTCCACTCAGCAACTTCTAGTCTTACGCCTGTATATACTGTTAAATATTCTTCATTTTTCGGAACTTCCTGTATACGTCTAAAATTTGTATCTAGTTTTTAATCGAAATTTCTATCAACAACAAAACCATTCAATATTCGCGTTTGGTCATAACCTTATTCTCAACCTTTTTTGAGCCTTATACATGCAATACTTTCTTCCATCTTACTGTTCATTTCACAAAACGTTGGCCACAAGTTTGTTTCATAATTAATAATGAAAGGGACAGCAACAAGGAATTTGTAATAAGTAATACACGATGCACGAAATTCTGCGATACCAGATGAGAAATTGAAAAGAACAGTACATCATTGACAGAGGGACATATAGATAGCTGTAAATACTGTAGCTGATCGCTTTTGTATTCACCAGTATAAAAGTTCGTGTAATTTTCCCGAGCTTCGCCACTAACTCTCCGACAAAGCGCCTTCGCTCGAAACGTCGAAATTCTCCTTGTATTTTTCAGGTAGTTGTATCCCTATCCATCCGAAGCTTTCTTATAGCCGTAAATTCAACTACTTTTTAGTCAAGGCTAAACCTCAACTCGAGTGTAAGCTTTACTACACGGCGTTGGAGAGAAGGGGAATCCCCAAGTGTAACCACGACAGACTTTCGAAAAGGCATTTGTACAAAGACAGATATAACTAAATATTTCACAAGCATTGTTGACTATAGCTCTTGAAAACTTTTGAAACTAAACTGCTCTATAGATATTAATCTGTATTTGTATCAAAGTTCTAAATTAAAGTATTCGCACTAGTTTTGTTCTCGAGAGATTCGTTGGGAAACCTGAAATCGTTCGCCATTATTTTTAATCGCTAAGTAATACTATATCTGATTAATATTTTACACATAGTAAGAATTATTAACCGCGAAACTTGAGAAGCTTATTCTAATAGTCGTAATAGTTAATTGACCACAGGTTTAATAATATACTTTTATTTTGGTTCATGTTTCAACAACTATTATTGAAATCGCTATAACTAACATGGCATTATAGTTATCAGTTTTATAAACAGATTGACTATCTTGAAACTTTACGAAACTTATCTAAAAGTTATCACGGACAATTTGTTACATTTTATAGCTTTCTAATTGACTATTGGCTACTTTATATGAAGCTTGTAGCAATCTAGATAGTAATTTGCGACACATAGCTTCTACATAGTAAAAAAGTTCTAATATAAAACTTAGTTTTGTTCATACCTTGAAAATTCATTTCTTCAATCAAGATCTTCACTTGGATTTCTTCAGATATTTCCAGTGCGTCTTCTTGGAGTGATAACTGTGGTATACATATGACTCATTCGAACGAAAGGTTTTTATAGACACGGCCCAGTCTAGTTTCGTTGCCCGTATATATCCCACCGGATATTGATAAACTGAATATATAATAAACTACCTAAATTTAGGGTATTTTGATGTCTGTTTGCATTTACTATTCTAGATTTAACTTTGATTTGGTCATAACTTAACCATTGAACCAATATACACTTTTAATTTTTAAATTTTCCCTTTGTCGATTGTAACTTGTGTTTTTTAAATTTTCTCTGAGCTTGCACCGCCAATTTCTAAACCATGTTGAATGCATAATGAGTAATATCTCTTGGGTCTATAGTTTCATACGCTGAACAGTTTCAAATTCCTCCCCCATGGCCTATATCAACTTATTGAGTGTAAAAATAAGTTTGCAACGAGTTTGCGAACAAGTTTTGTATCGCATGTTAGCTCTGTGTTGTTGCTTGCGACTTTTTAACAAGTTTAGTTTGGTTTCTGCGGGTCAAGTTGTTGGGACAATATCTACAGACTATAGTTGTTTAGATCGGCAACATTGTATATAGTATAAGTTGTATTTGTAACACTATATGAAGGCTTCCAGAAGTTTCGTAGTAAAATTGTAAAATCTATAATTTCAAATTAAAATCTAAATTGTAAAATCTAATTAGTTTTGAGCAATATGTGTTTGTATATAGTCTCGGACCAAGCTAAAATGTTGTAATAATCTTAATCTGTTCTGAGTGATTGCTCCCGAGTGAAATCCTGTTGACAAGTTGTTGAAAGGTTGTTACTGCAAAGTTGTGATTCACAATTCGATAATAGGTTGTTAAATAGAAGGGCTTTACATGCTTTTGTTGGAACAATCTCAAAAAGTTGTCAGTATTGTTGACTTTTCACTTTATTAATACACCTGAGCTGTGCAAAGAAGTTGTAATAAAGTGGCGATAAAATTTTTTTTTAATATCATCTACAATAGACGATGCTTTAAAAATATAAGACACGAAGAAATTTTATGAATCAGGTTTGGAAACTTAACTTCATTGGCACCTGTTGCTGAGGATAGGGTTTTAGGGTTTGGAAGCTTTATTGACACCTGTTGCTGAGGATAGGGTCAGGGTTTGGAAACTTCATTGGCACCTGTTGCTGACGATAGGGTTATAGGGTTTAGAAACTTCAATGACACCTGTTGCTGACGATAGGGTTAGGGTTTTGAAACTTCATTGACACTTATTGCTGATGATTTGGTTATAGGGTTTGGAAACTTCATTGACACCTGTTGCATGCTGACGATATATGTGCTGTCGTAATTTATTGTTTTAAGCAATTCATGTGAGTTATGTATTGGGCAATTGGTTTTCTTAAGGAAGTTTATCAGCTAATTTGCACTTTAGTGTTTATACCTCTTCAAATAAAATCTTCTATATATTAACAGTATTATTAACGACACTCATTCTCCACAAATGAAAGTAGCAAATTTGTTACTAATTTGTCGCAAATTGTTGCAAAAACTTCCGGATTTGAAGTAGTTAACACCGGTAGTTATTACAGACTTATTTTAGCGATGTTGCAAGATTCAAATATAATATTTTTAATAAGTAAACCTGTCAGGCAGTGTCATCATAGACTTTATATATGTTCCCGTGAAAGTGAAACGAGACAATGTCCAATGTACATTTGCATAATGGTTTTTCCCTTGCAACGTTCTGATTGTAGGACGTTGTAAAACGTCACGTGTAAATGTAAATAGGACGTGGGCGAAGTTCGGTGAAGTGTTTCCAAATTGTAAACAAAGAGATATTGAAGCAGTTCTTGAAATGATTATAGTAAATCTTATCTGATCATGCAGAGATAGTATCTTCAATGTGAGCTATCTTAAAGTGTCTGATGTTGTACATGCAGAACTTACTTCCGAGTTAAGTATGGTTATAAGATCATACAGAGGTAACACATGTTCTTGAATGTAGACTACTTAAAGTGATCTGATGTTGTAACTCACTACTGAGTTAAGCATGGTTAGATCATACAGAGGTAGCACATGTTCTTGAATGTAGACTACAATAAAGTGATCTGATGTTGTAACTCACTGCCGAGTTAAGCATGGTTAGATCATACAGAGGTAATACATGTTCTTGAATGTGAGCTAGTTTAAAGTGATCTGATGTTGTACAGAACTCACTGCTGAGTTAAGCATGGTTAGATCATACAGAGGTAATACATGTTCTTGAATGTGAACTATGTTAAAGTGATCTGATGTTGTACACAATGCACTGTTGAATTAAGCATGGTTAGATCATGCAGAGGTAATACATGTTCTTGAATGTGAGCTATCTTAAAGTGATCTGATGTTGTACAAAACTCACTGCTGAGTTAAGCATGGTTAGACCTTGCAGAGGTAATTCATGTTCTTGAATGTGAACTATCTTAAAGTGATCTGATGTTGAAAATTCACTGCATGCTGCACTGGAAATTTTTTTCAAGATCTTTACTCCAGAGTAAAATATGGATCTTCGTTGTAAATAGTATGGAAATCCAATTTATATACAAATTGCAATTTTCATAGTGTGTATACAGTATACAGGGTGTCTAAAAAAACGCTATGGAAATTCAACAGGCTGTCATGCATGCGTCATAAACGTGGCTAAACAATTCAATTTTTACATAGGAAGAAAGAGCTGTTATTTAGCTTGTCTATGATACCTTTCTTAAACCGTAACGATGAGAAATGACCACATATACTCGTCAAATAAAAATTGCCGGACGAAATCACATTCTTCTACCTTTGCAAAGTTAATCAATGGGAGTCTGCTGCAAGGTATTTGTTTTGTAAAACGTTTTGATTACGAATGTTCTCTGAACCATGTTTAATGCAATAATGACGTTTTTATTGTCTCACCAAGACGAAGATTGACGAGTTCAGCTCATTTTAGATAATTTAACATTCAACTTTAATTCTCTCTTGGGAATTGTCTGTGTTTCGTATTCCATGCAATTCCCAAAGGTGGAAGAATGTGATTTCGACCGGCAATTTTTATTTCACGAGTACGTGGCCATTTCTCATCGTTACGATTTAAAAAGAGTATCATAGCAAAGCTAAATAACTGTTCTTTCGTCCCATGTAAAAATTGAATTGTTTCGCTAAGTTTATGTAATTTTATTTCACTATTTCATTTTTCTATTTTTCCTGTGCTGCATGAATTAAGCAAGCATGACGGATGTGTGATATTCTGATGTACATAAATTCTGTTTCGAATTGTAAACAAAAGGTTTGTTATATTCAGTAAAGTTCTCGAAATAGTAACGATAGACGATCGTTTGTTAGTTAAGTTGAGTGTTTGACGGCATATGAAAAAGCCCCCAACTTGTTTTGGGAGTGTTCAGATGTACGCGTGGGCAGCGGGGACTCTCAAGACAAGGACTAGCTGGCATGAGCAATGTTGTTATTGCTGTTCAACCATGCATCACAGCGAATCACAGTCACTAGAAATAAAACTATACCCCTCAAGAATTGTGTGATACTATCGTATAGAAGGTCACGAGAACATGTACTACCTATGCTTAACCATGTACTACATTTGTATGATCTATAACCATGCTTAACTCAGCAGTGAGTTCTGTACAACATCAGATCAGTTTAAGATAGGCCACATTCAAGAACATGTACTACATCTGTATGATCTATAACCATGCTTAACTCAGCAGTGAGTTCTGTACAACATCAGATCAGTTTAAGATAGGCCACATTCAAGAACATGTACTACATCTGTATGATCTAACCATGCTTAACTCAGCAGTGAGTTCTGTACAACATCAGATCACTTTAAGATAGCTCACATTCAAGAACATGTACTACCTCTGTATGATCTAACCATGTTTAACTCAGCAGTGAGTTCTGTACAACATCAGGTCACTATAAGATAGCTCGCATTCAAGAACATGTACTACCTCTGTATGATATAACCATGTTTAACTCAGCAGTGAGTTCTGTACAACATCAGATCACTTTAAGGTAGCTCACATTGAAGAACATGTACTACCTCTGTATGATCTAACCATGTTTAACTCAGCAGTGAGTTCTGTACAACATCAGATCACTTTAAGATAGCTCACATTCAAGAACATGTACTACCTCTGTATGATCTAACCATGCTTAACTCAGCAGTGAGTTCTGTACAACATCAGATCACTTTAAGATAGCTCACATTCAAGAACATGTACTACCTCTGTATGATATAACCATGTTTAACTCGGCAGTGAGTTCTAACATCAAGAACATGTATACTAGTCTTGAATGTGTTATAAAAAGATAATACATGATACACGTCAATAATCATACGAATTATTTATTTCATCAAAGTATTACAACATGTTATTAGTAATTACAGCTTTTACCAACCAAACAACTAAACTATTTCCAAATTACTTATTTAATGCATAGCATCTACTTTATATTATTTCGCAAGAAAAAACACTAAACTTATCTAACTACAGTGTCGCTATTTTAGCTTCTACATCTATATGAAATTCATCATTTTTTATTCAATTATTCCAAAATAGTGTGGCACGTTTCATCTCTAACAAGCGGGAATGATGCATGTTTTCGTCGTTGTAGAATTTTGAAAATATCCTCGCATGTCGTTGAAATCCAAGCCGAGATTGATCAACATTTGTATTTGTACATCGTACCAATCCTTGGGCGACTTTGCCCCGGTGGTAGCAAGCTTTGGCGGCAGACTACTCTGTACTACGTTTGAGAAACCAAGATTTCGTTGCTGAAATGAGAAAATAGTGGAATTGAGTGATCACAACCGAAAAAGTGAACTGTCTTTTAATTTTTATAACTATAGACACTTAACTCTTTTATACTTAACAAATATAAAGCATGACGGATGTGTGATATTCTGATGTACATAAATTCTGTTTCGAATTGTAAACAAAAGGTTTGTTATATTCAGTAAAGTTCTCGAAATAGTAACGATAGACGATCGTTTGTTAGTTAAGTTGAGTGTTTGACGGCATATGAAAAAGCCCCCAACTTGTTTTGGGAGTGTTCAGATGTACGCGTGGGCAGCGGGGACTCTCAAGACAAGGAATAGCTGGCATGAGCAATGTTGTTATTGCTGTTCAACCATGCATCACAGCGAATCACAGTCACTAGAAATAAAACTATACCCCTCAAGAATTGTGTGATACTATCGTATAGAAGGTCACGAGAACATGTACTACCTATGCTTAACCATGTACTACATCTGTATGATCTATAACCATGCTTAACTCAGCAGTGAGTTCTGTACAACATCAGATCAGTTTAAGATAGGTCACATTCAAGAACATGTACTACATCTGTATGATCTAACCATGCTTAACTCAGCAGTGAGTTCTGTACAACATCAGATCACTTTAAGATAGCTCACATTCAAGAACATGTACTACCTCTGTATGATCTAACCATGTTTAACTCAGCAGTGAGTTCTGTACAACATCAGGTCACTATAAGATAGCTCGCATTCAAGAACATGTACTACCTCTGTATGATATAACCATGTTTAACTCAGCAGTGAGTTCTGTACAACATCAGATCACTTTAAGGTAGCTCACATTGAAGAACATGTACTACCTCTGTATGATCTAACCATGTTTAACTCAGCAGTGAGTTCTGTACAACATCAGATCACTTTAAGATAGCTCACATTCAAGAACATGTACTACCTCTGTATGATATAACCATGTTTAACTCGGCAGTGAGTTCTAACATCAAGAACATGTATACTAGTCTTGAATGTGTTATAAAAAGATAATACATGATACACGTCAATAATCATACGAATTATTTATTTCATCAAAGTATTACAACATGTTATTAGTAATTACAGCTTTTACCAACCAAACAACTAAACTATTTCCAAATTACTTATTTGATGCATAGCATCTACTTTATATTATTTCGCAAGAAAAAACACTAAACTTATCTAACTACAGTGTCGCTATTTTAGCTTCTACATCTATATGAAATTCATCATTTTTTATTCAATTATTCCAAAATAGTGTGGCACGTTTCATCTCTAACAAGCGGGAATGATGCATGTTTTCGTCGTTGTAGAATTTTGAAAATATCCTCGCATGTCGTTGAAATCCAAGCCGAGATTGATCAACATTTGTATTTGTACATCGTACCAATCCTTGGGCGACTTTGCCCCGGTGGTAGCAAGCTTTGGCGGCAGACTACTCTGTACTACGTTTGAGAAACCAAGATTTCGTTGCTGAAATGAGAAAATAGTGGAATTGAGTGATCACAACCGAAAAAGTGAACTGTCTTTTAATTTTTATAACTATAGACACTTAACTCTTTTATACTTAACAAATATGAAACATTTTCCGTGTTGATATGCAGTTATATCAACACGAGTGGAAATTGGGAAAACGAGAAATTGTGTGGAGTGTTTTCACAGAATTTCGAGTTTTCCCAATTTCCGCGAGTGTTGATATAACTGTATATCAATACGGAAAAAATGTTTTATATTTGTTTTATAATATAGCACAAAGAAACATAAAGAAAGAAATTTTCCAACGTTTCCGTGTTGACATCAACACGGCTCTTAGCCAATATCAACACGGCTCTTAGCCAATATCAACACGGCTCTTAGCCAATCAGCGTTCATAATTTACAAATGCTATATTGTAAATATAGACAAATTATTATTAACAATAATAACTGTCACGTTACAGTAGTCCGGATTGTTAATATGGAAATTGTCCCTTACTGTTTTTTTGACCCAGTTTTTTAACACGTTCAGTTGATTTTTGATTAATGTCTTGACACATTTCGTATTTTTGAGATGTCGTGAGATGTCATTATTGTGAATTATATGTATCAAAATTCTCTTTTGAATCTCGCGCAAAAAATGTTCAATCTAAAATTGTAAAATGACAATAAGAATTATAATGATAATATAAATAATAAAAGTCACTAAAAGTGTCGACATTTCTGGTGTCGACCATCAACTGTGCTATCCTGTAACTACTAGACTTGCTCCAAGTCTCTCTTTCATTGTCATATAGTATCGATCCACTATAGTGTACATTACATGACGTAGTACGGAGGGGCGGAGCGAGAAAGAGAGACTTGTCAACTTCGGAAAATCTCGGTTCAAAACTGAACCGAAAATGCAAGACTTGCTTTAATTCTTTTCTGTCAGTG